TCCCATCTGGGGACAGAGTGAGATGCTGGCTTTGAGTGTGAAGTGAGGCATTAGTACCTCCAAAAAGAGTCAGATGTGCAATGCTAAGAACTTCTCCTCAAGGGGCAGGCTCCTGTCCCCCTTCCAGCACTCCTTCGCTGCAGAGTGGGAAAGACTCATAGCTGACTTTCATTGGGTTGCTGAGGCTACTTGCATGGGAAACTGCTGGTGGATTCAGACCTCCAGAGAGGTGAGGCCTTGAGGTTAGCAATGCAACTCCCTATGGGCTATGCACCAGAGGTCCCTCTCTCAGCACTGTGGTTATTGTCAGAACTGAACTATCGCTGATACTCTGGTGGTTTTTCAGAGGCAGTTAACTGCATGGGAGGAGATTGTCCATCCTGCTCCCACAGGGCAGCTGGTGGCCTCGAACCGCATGCCTTCGGGATTGCAGCGCAGCTTCTTGCCACTGGGCCACCAGAGCTCAGCACTAGGTACTTCATTGTCATGATGTTCATTCAAATCTGCTCTAAGTCAATGAGAATCCACGGCTGGCTGGTACTTATTTCTTTGGAATTTCATTCCATGGAACACTAGATCTGAAAGCTTAACTTAATCAGCTTCCCGTGGCTAGAAACATCTTTATTTGCCTAGCAGTGGGCTGAAGGATAGGACCTGCTCCATTCCTTAAAGTTTCTTGCTGGGTTGATGAAACATCTTAAATGAGATGCCCAGCTGGGATCATTTAAGAGAGGAATGCGCTATCATAATGACTCATAGACTCATGTGAGTTGGAAATGACTCACAGCTGACCCTCCAGCGGGTTTCCAGGGACTGTAAATCGCACGGGAGGAGACTGAGCATCTTTTGCCTGGAGAACAGCTGGTGGGGCTGAACCTCCAGAGAGGCGCAGCATTTGTGTTAATAGTGTTATTCCTAACTCAAGAGGCCACCAGAGCTCCCTCTCTCTCAACACAGGTAATCTTCAACTCAGAACTCAGAAAGATTTTCACCTTGCTCCAACTCCATTCTCTCTGCCAGTGGAGGTGCCCTCTTATGCAGCTCATGAGAGCCCAGTAGGAAACTCACATAGAAAACACATAAGCTCAGCAAGGGGGAAGGAAGGGAAGTGAGCCGAACCTGGGGCGGAGCCAAGAGAAGTGGACCTTGGGGAGCAGATCCCAGGCGAGGCTGGCCTGACCGGTAACCCCTTGGGAGTCTTATATCTTTGAGAATCCATCCACGTATCCACTTGCCTAATTATTCATTCAATTATCTAGAGTTTATAAGCAGATCATAAACTATTAAAGATCACAGTTTTTGCCTTTTTGATGCTACCCAGCAACTAACACTCGATTGGTTGGCAGTTGTTATTGTTGTTAGGTGCCACTGAGTTGAATCTGAGTCATAGTGATCCACAGCTCCCTACAAGGCTTGTGCGTCTTTCACTCGTGGAACTTTGGAGTCCTCCCTGAAATTCTACTGTCTGAGATGCCAAAGTGAACAGCTTGGTGGGAGAAAGGCATTCACTGGGTGTCTGGTGATGGGCCACTGCAAGGAGGAAGGTAGCAAATAATGGTGACAATATCTAATGAGACATGAGTTTTACAAAGCACCTTCTCATCTGACCCTCACACCAACCCCATGAGCAGGTATTAACTATCATTATCCCTATTTTACAGATCAAAAAAATTGAGGTTTAAGAGCCAGACTCTGATCTGAAGATTTGAATGGGTTAACATGAGCTCTTGCTGGTTGAACTTCTCTATTAACTTGCTGAATGCCTGCTCTGTGCAGATTATGGGTCCTGGGCACCCACAGCATAAACTCCAGCCTAATAATATTGTAAATATAATTCAGTTCACTTTAAAACATCATGTATAAAGAGCTTAGTGTAGGTTAGCTTCGGAATATGGTAGCTTGAGTTAGACTGTGTCTGTAGGAAATTTTGTGATATGCTACCAAACTGGTGGAATATAATCTCATTATATAATAATTGTAGTTGCTGTTTTTAGGTGCCGTTGAGCTGAATACAACTCACAGTGACCCTATGAACAACAGATCTGAATCATGTCCTATCCTTTGCCATCTCCACATTATTGAGTAGACCTGACATCATAATTTAATACAGGTCAATATCTCAGTTGGGTTCCAGATGGACAATTAAGTCTGCTTTACCATTCCAAACTTTCTTCATGTTTGAGCTCTCCAGGAGTACTGCATAGGTAGATTTGCTGCAAAACTTACTCCATGTGGACAGGGACTTTTATATATAATGAGTACCAAGGTATTCCCAGGAAGCTCTGGTGGACTAGTGGTAAGAAGATGCACCGTTAACCCGAAGGCACATGGTTTGAGTCCACCAGCTGCTCCTCCCATGCGATTTACTGTCAGTTCAGAGTTGATGGTACTTAGCAAACAACAAGGTATCCCAGCACCTAGGGCAGAACCAGGCACATACAGGTATCATTAAACACTTGTTTGATGGACACACATGTAATCCCTGACCTATGATATGATGCCTGGGTAGTACAAACTGCACTTACGACTCTCCTCCTTTTTATTGTTAATACCTTACCTATAAGTTAAAATGGACTCAGTGGAAGTATTTTTGGTTTCTCGTTTTGTCAATAACAATATGTGCTACAGTGTCATAGTGAACAGTTTATTGATGTCATCATTCTCAGATGCAATTATTTCCCAATCCTCAAAGACAAATAATGACCAAACTGATAAAGATGCTGGTAATAAAAAACAGTAATAATACCAACAACTAAAAAAAAAAGAGAGAGAGAGACATTCTACTTAAGTCAGAATAGACTTATGATGGAGCAATCATCTAAACAGCATCCCATCATAAGCCAGTGATTTCCTATTTGCTTTTAGATCATAAATGTTTTAAACCACACACTCTTCATGTGGTTTATGCTTTTCTTTGGGGAACATATTTATTGCTGTTACAACACAGCTGAGAGCTGGAATATGACTATGAGTAACCAAACTTCAATAGATTCAGACAACCTAAAATGCTATTGTAAGGCAGCCAGAGGGCTTAAGTGCTTGATCACTAGTGAAAGCTTGGCAGTTCAAATTCACATTGAAGCACCTTGGAAGAAATGCCTGGCAATCTGCAAAAATATTAGAGTCATTCATTGATGATCTTCTTCAACTAATAAAAAATGAAATAATAAGTTCTTGCCAGAGAAAGAGACACTCTCTCCTTCTGGGAAATTTGCAGCCCTGCTGACCCTTAGAGGGTCAGCTATTACTTGGGTTCTAACTCTCTAGTAAATGAGTTGAGAGTTTTCTTTCAATAAGGTTTTTCCCCAACCCCCAGCTAGCAAATTTCTTTGATGTATTATGGCTTGGAGAAACTGTAGGAGCTCTAGTAGCCTAGTGGTAAGACGCTGTACTGCCAACCCAAAGGTATGTGGTTCAAATTCACCATCTGCTCCATGGGAGAAAGATGGGCAATCTCCTCCCATATGATTTACTGCCTCTGAAAACCCTCTGGAGGATCAACTATGCATTGGTTCTGACTTGACAGTACCCAATGTCAACTGGTCTCTGCTTTGGCAGACCTGCCTCTTGCCATCACAGAAGTGTGGCTCCTTGGGCAAGTTACTTTTGAGCAGTAGGTCTCAGGATCATAAGACCTGGGCCTTCTACTTTTGACTCAGAAATACTAAGGTGTCTGCAAGCCTCACCTTCTAGAGTCCTCATGCTTTCACTAATTACTGTTTGGAAGAGATACTGGGTTAAAAGCGAGATAAACAAAGATTGTTAGAGCGGATGCTGTGGGTGTCTCAAAAGGAAAGTCATAATTCTTTTGGTTTAGATAAGTTTTGGCAGTACAATGGTTAAGTGCTTGGCTGCTCACCCAAAGCTTGGTAAGGTGAATACACTCAGTGGCTCTGCAAGAGAAAGTCAGGGCCATCTACACCCATAAAGACTAGCCCAACCAAAAAGCAAAGGCATTGGCCTTGACTCAGTACTACTGATACTATTGATGTTACAAGATGACCTTGAGTGGATACTAGAGATTGTTGTTGTTGTTATGTGCCGCTGAGCCGCCTGTGACTCATAGTGACCCTATGTACAACAGCCCTAAACCCTGCTCTATTCTGTACCAATCTCATTGTCTCTGACACACCTAACCCCATTACCCCAGTCACTGAGTCAATTCATCTCATCGAGGGTCCTCCTCTCCTGCGCTGTTCCTCCATCCTCCCAAGCATGAAATCCCTCTCCAAGGTTTGGTCTCTCCTTGCAACACGTCCAAAGTATGTGAGACAAAGCTTCAGAATCCTTGCCTCTAAGGAGCAGTCTGGTCTCAATCTTTCCAGGACGAACCTGTTTGTTCTCCTAGCTGGCGATGGTATGCTCAATACTCTTCTCCAGAACCACAGCTTAAAGGCATCAATTCTCCTTCTATCCTCCCTAGTCATTAGCCAGCTCTCTGATGCATAGCACGTGATTGCAAAGACTATGAGATACTATAAGGTAACAGAACTGCTACAGAACGTGTCCAAGGCTGCACCTCATTATGGAAGCAGATTGCTACACTACATCGTTCCCCTGTAGAGTGGCTGGTGGGTCAGCTGAGAACTTCAGCCACTGTGCCACCAGGACTCCTTTCATAAATCTTATAAACTAGTTCTGTTCTGTCACATGAGATTGCTGTGCGTTGCTGTCCACTTGAGGGCACCTAACGACCATGGAAGTTGCTGGCTGGAGGCAACCACGGCTCATTTCTTTCCAGTCAACCTTTAGGTAAGCAAGTTAAGCAGTCATTAGTTGCACTTAGTTCATTCATCCGGTGAAGACAGAATTCTGTTTCATTCGCACTGGAACCAGCAGGATACACCCAACCAAAAGGATGAGTCTGCAGACAGGATACAGCTTCCCTTCTAAACAGCGTGGAATGACTAACAAACGAGCTAATGCAGAATGCTAATGTGGTAGGGAAGATTCAAAGGGACCAGAAGGGCTGGGATTTATAGCCCTCTCTATTTTCAAACAAGATGCTGTGACTTAGTGTTTTCCTACCTAAGACTTCACCAGTTGCCACTGCACGCACAGTGTAGGATATAAATGTCAGCACTGTGTCGGGGGTGTGTTGACGCTGGTCGCTTGTTCAAAGCCTGCACTCTGTCATTGTCCTGCCTTCTTTGCACTGACAGCTCACTACTGAAAAGAGCATATCCAGAAAGAAGTCAATTCACTTAGCCTGGGTCTCAGTTTCTCTTAGGAAACATTTCTCATTCCTAAATTTCCTCTACAGCGTATTTCTTGGTTCCTCTCAGAGAAAATAGAACTGGGTGTGTTCTGTTGGTTCAAAAGGGGCTGAAGTGGTCAGAATCTCATTTTAGATCTGTTGAAGACATAAGATCTGGTTTGTAAAAAAGAAGTTATTCTTAATCTGGAATGCCCTCAATCCTCAGTATCAGTTAGTAGCAACTTGCTCTTGCCTTATTTGGACCATCGATGCCTCCGATACCAATTCTGTCATTTTCATGTTACCGTCAAGATATAGTGATTCAACTCTGGCTGCTCATTAACTCTCCTTGTATATAAGGCAACATCCAAAAGTGTCCAGGCCACTTTCTAGGTCGGCCGAGCAATGGTGCTTTTAGATCTTTCAAGGTGATTCCGGCATGCCTGAGTCACCTTCCCAAGGATGAACAAGTGGGTCAGTGTGGAGAGGTCAGGTAGCACATCTTGTAACCACTGGTATTTTCAAGTGGAAAGGCCTCCGCTTATTGGACGATTATAAACTGTTCCTTTGTGCCCATAAATAAATAAGGAAGTTGTGCAGAAATGCAGTTAGTTGAGGGCAGAGTGAGGACCACAAGCCAATCAATATTAATTAGGAAAAGGAAGATAGCAGAGTAATAAAAATATTAAAAGAATAAAATATTTAAAAATATTATTGTTGTTGTTATATGCCGTCGAGTCATTTACGACTCATAGAGACCCTATGTACAACAGCCCTAAACC